AAATAACATTATATGGGTATAGTTTACCTAATTACATTATATGGGTATAGTTTAGTTATTAAAGTTGTCTTTAATTTTGTATATAAATTTTTTTTTATTTATTTATACAATTCTATTTATTTAATCGATATACACATCCAAATAACCTCTCTCCCACTCTTTGCCCTTTCTCGCTTGCATCTCTCCTCCCTCTCCCTGTCTCGCTTGCCTGTCTCCTCTCTCTCCCAATCTTGCTTGTCATATATACAATTGCATATATATAACATACAACAATATAACCAATATACATATACAATTTACCTCTCTCCAACTCTTTTCCATCTGTTGCTCGCCTCTCTCAATCTCCTCGCCTCTCCTCTACTCTTCCAATCTCACTTGTCATATATATATATATATATATATATATATATATATATATGAATACATATGTATAATATATAATTATCTAACGATATACATATGCAATTGACCTCTCTCCCACTTTTTGCCCTCTCTCACTGGCCTCTCTCTTCTCTACCAATCTTGCTCGTCTCTCTCCTCCCTATAACATATAGCTGCAAATTATAATTATCAAATTATAGCTATAGAGAGTAATTAGACCATTTTTGAATAGTTATATGTGAAGGTTTTTCTTCTTTAATTTTCATAAGACAAATTCTTCCGGCCCAATATAGTAAAGTAAGGACTAAACAGACCATTCACAGGACAACAACCACTTTGGGATATGATCCCATACGAATCAAAACTTTAGTGGACCACTCTATTATATAAGTTAATTCCTAATTTTTATTTCACGTCATAAGATAAATTATGGTGCCTCCTGTATCTCATAAAGCTTTATATCCATAGAAAACATTTTTAATTTTTATTTTATTTTGACCTGTATGAAATTTCTTTTTTTGCTACCGCTAATAAAAATTAAATCATTATTTTAGACGATGCATGTGTAGAAAAAAAATGCTATTTTTAAATCTACTTTTTTCTATTTTTCAAACTGTAGTAATATATTTTTTCACCCACATTTGTTAAATGTCAATGTTAAATTATTCATTTTGAACTCACATTAAATATGAAGATCTAAATTAGAGTACAAAAGAAATCAAATTCCTTAGATGCATCATACATGAACAATATTTCATTGTGTTCATTATACAAATTACAAACAAGCAACATAGAAAGTAAATTACTAGGTTTGAATATAGAAAATTAAAAGAACCCAAACATAAATTACATGAAAATTCATATAATAATATCAAACACCACAAAAATCTTCTACTAAATTCTGTGATCTTCGACCACGTTCTGTATCAAAAAACTTGATCAAATCAAGATGAACAAATGGCTTAAACTTCAATGGATGTTCTTCATCAATTAATTCTTCATCCACTTCTATAATTTTATCATTCTTTAAAAAAGTAAATAATCCAATAGTATATCTTGTTTCACTCCCATTTATATCCATAATTACCCTATGTATTGGAGTAAGCACCCTATCATTGCTCCATCCCTATAAAAATAAAAAACACGAGTTCAACTTATGTATACAGATCGCGAATAAAATATAATTGTGATATAAGTTGTAGTAATATATATACTTACTCTGAGTGCTTCACCAGCCATGACTACAAAAGAAGATGGTGGAAACTCAAGAGTTATCCATTGAAGGTCTCGAGTTTGAACTTCTAACCCTGAAATGTGATTTTGGTATAGTATGGTAGTGAACGTTTTATCGGTATGAGGGGGAAACACCATGCTAGTTTCCTTAGTCTTTGGAGTGTTATATTTCAAATATCTAAGGAGATATGTGGTTGATTCAACATATGATTCACAATTTTTTGTGATTCCATAGCTCTCAAATAACATTCTAACAACCTTGTTGTCCAACGCCGCCACAATCTTGGAAAACATCAACGAACTCTCACTAAAACCAACAAAAGATAGGATTCAAAACGAGTTAAATCATATATATGTACACGTGTCATGTCAAATATATATTCTGAACTCACTGAATCTAAATTCTGATATGATTGCGATATTAAATGTAACAAAGAACATGAGAAATGATTAGTTAATTACCAGAAAGAGTCATTTCCTTGTGGCCACATGAGGTTGGAAAAGGTTTGAATACCTTGAGAAGTAGTTGCATAATCAATACCAAAAGCCTCATGATTAGGTAGAAATGAAATTTGGCCAACATAACCATGATAAGGCTTTTCACTAATGTTTAGGACTTTTCTCTCTAAAGGAAGTTCAAATAATTGTTGTGAATTATCTTGAAAAATGGATTTTTGAAGTTGTGGTGAAATTTTGTCATAAAGTGCTATGAAACAACCATGGTTTTCAAAGGCATGTCTAATTTCTTTACAGGTAGATTCCCAAGTAGTTGTGCCTGGCCTTAATTCTTCATTGTTGAAATCTACTACTAGTAGTTTTGGTGGAGTTGTTAGAGAACCCATAGTATATCTCTATAGTTCTTTGTTTTTTCTTTTTGTTCTTTTGGTTGCCCAAAAAATGTCTAATTGCTTGGTTTTATATAGGCTTCTTGTAGAAAAAAAAACTTTATTCCTATCTTATTTTAGATCATTGGAACCCCTATTAACCATTGAGTTTTAACTTATTTACACCGATTGTGCAAAGGCAATTTTGATGTTACAACATGTTAAATTACATTTTTATGGAAAATATTTATTTATATATAAATTAGTAGGTGTTTGGTCATGCGATGTCATATCATGATATGATATCGTGAGATGGAATTAGCGTTTGGATATGCAATTTCACGTTGATTCCATCTCATGATACCATATCATGAGATGTGATCCATATTCTTCAAAAAGCATGATATAGAATTACATGGTGATTTCATATCATGATTTGAGATATTTTGATATAAAAATCGATCCACAAGTTTATATTTTATTAAAACAACCCCACATTTATATCTACTAACCATTTGTATCATATTTAAATAAAATTTATAATCACATCATTACTTTTTAAAATTTGTCATTCTCATCGACATAAAATTTATTATTCTCACCAATTTATAGTCATTTTAACTTACACCAATCGATTGTTAAAGTGATGAAATATTTATGGTCTATAAACATGAAAGTATAGTTGTGGATGATATTGACCAACAAATAGCTCAAAGTAACAATGTTGGTTTATCTTCTCCGCCACATGATCAAGAAATGCAAGTTCAACTTGAGAAAATTGTTCGTACTAGGTGGGAGGATTATATAAAAAACTAGTACACTACAATTATGTTTAATTTTTTTTATTAAATTAAAACTAGATGAAACAATTACTTAAGTGGAGAACAAATATCTTTATAATAATGATACTTTATCATGCGATATTATAATTTTTTTATTTGATAAAATTGAATAAATAATTGGGACTATTTTAATAATTTTACAACTTATGAGATTTTTATGTTGATGAGAAAATATACAACACAAAAATTCCATATCGCATGTCCAAATAAAATTCAAATTTCATCTTATGATTCCATATCATGATATCATATCATGATTCCATATTATGATACCATATCGCATGGTCAAACGGCCCTTAATCTTTTAAATACAAAGTGTTTGAAGTTGACGGAGGAGTAGTTAATTGGTATTTGGCTTCTCTCCAATTCCTTCATTACCTTTTTAATATTTTGACATGTGTCATGCAAATAATCTAATGGCTAAGATTTGTTTGGTTAAATAAAGAATTTTACCAGATAATATTTCTCTCGCTTCTTGTTGTGCTTAGAATCCTTTCTTCTCTGCCATAATTTATTTTTTCAAACTTTTTTTTTTTTTGCAGAAAATCAACAATAGATTTATTAATTTTATTTATAGTGTTGATACTTGAAATAAATTCATTTTATTTTTAATTATGAATAATTTTTCAATTGACATCTCTCTCACAAAGTTTAATTGAAATTTCACTACTGATGAAAAGAAAAGTTTATGAAAAAATACCATTTTTCATGCCTTTTCAGATCCTTTAGTTGAATTTTGCAGAAACTCTTAATTGCAAAAATTGATGTTACGAAGAAGACGACATAGTTTTGTGGATTATCATTGTGATCGAACCAAGCTTCAAAGAAGTAGTCTCATGGATTGGATTTTTTAAATTTTATAACCCAAGTTCATTCTTTGAATTTTGTGTTCTTTTATCACGATGTGAAAATAACGAAACGAAAGAGCGATTTGCTGTTAACAAAGCAAATTCTTTGATGATTCAAAAAAGGTTTGTTACAGAATTAGGTGAGAGAGAAATAAAAATAATGATTGGTAATCATGATTAATGATATTTGATTATAATTTAAAGATTGTTTTATTTAAATAAATATGGACCATTAAATTTTAAAATTGGCAAATAATATTAAATTTTAATATGCATTGAACCAACCGAATAGATTAGTATAGTGGAGAGGAGCCTCTTGAAGTTAATTGGTTGTTTTCTAAAGGATTTATTTACTTATTTGTAGAGTACTATTTATTAATTATGATGATGATTGATGAGGAATATAATGCTAATTACATTTAACCGATTGATCCTGACAAATTGGCTCCAATTAGGACCACAGTCTCTTTCGAACTTCTAAGAAAAAGGTTTTATTAAATTATGGCTTATGTAAGCAAAATTGATGTTATGAAGACTACAATGTTTATTGCGTATGAAACAGACTTTTCAGACTTATTTAACCATTAATTTAAAGATCAAAAAGTAATCAGTCATAACTTGAACGATATATTGATCATATAATTCAATAAAAAGAGATGTAAAACATGAAAAGTATAATATCCTTCGCGAAACAAAAATGACTATTTTATTCTTATAATGTATGAATTACGAACACGAAATTTTGGACTCCATCATATATATTAATATATATCATATATTGATATGTCATTCCTTCAATAAAAATTATAATAAAATATTTATTTTTTATATTTTCTTTTAATATGGATTTCAAATAACAAGATAGTAATTCTAATATTTTTCTTAATTATTGGTTAATTACAAAAATTCCACCTTTTTTAGTTTACAAATTTTCAACATCCCTAAATTTCACGCATCACATTAATGTATTTCGCGCATTAGATTAGTGTATTATGTATAAAATGTACCTCGCGCATCAGATTGATGTATCTCGCGCATCAAACTAATGTATCATGGTAAAATGTACCTCGCATATCAAATTAGTATATCTCGTGCATCAGATTAGTGTATCTCGCGCATTAGATTAATGTATCAACGCTTATATTTTTGCATCCATTATGAAGAATTTTTGTAATTATAAACTTTTAAGGAATAGATTTGTAATTTTGCCTTAAAAGTATGTGATTTTTGTAATTTGTCCTTAATATCAATAATTTTGTGGGCATTATTAATGATAACGAGTAAAGCTAATGCTTATGGGCCCAACAATCATAGCCCAATACATAAAGCCCATAGTAACAAGCCCACTAGAGAAACTAGAAAAACATCCCACATCAAAAAGTTAGTGAAGAAGCCAGCGGCTACAACTTTGTATATAAATAGATCAAGCGCCACATCATAAATCACGCAGCCACGCAATGAGCACATAGCGAACTATTCTTTCGCCTTTTACTAAAGAATACCGTGTGAGCATTGCACATAGTGGCATACGCCTATTTTTGGAGGGAGTAATCCCAACAATACAAGTCTTGAATATTATTTGCTTTATGTATTTACAGTGTGATGTCAATATAAGATATTCAATGCAAAAATAGCTAGATAGTCCAAAATGTATTGTTAAGAGTATCTAATCCTGAACAACCATTTATGAATTAAATAAAGTGTCCGATTGATGATTATTTATAGTAAAAATAATGTATATGATTGTCCCAATAATACCATATAGAATTGATCAGCTAATGTGACTTTTTTGCAATTAAAAATATAGTTTGGACACATTCTGAAAAGAAAACAAACAATCATGAACGATATAATGATCTCATATAAATTGATAAAAATAAAAATAAATTAAAGCTATAAAATTGTCAATGATTATAATGCATGAACGCAGATTTTGGACCCATTAATCTTGAAAACATATTAAATGATTAATTTTTTGGTATATTTTTCTATCTAATAATGTGAAGTAGTTAGTTGTCTCCACAGCTAAACGTCAAAGGTATAATATAATTGATCTTGACATAATTAGAACATACAACTAGGTTTTAATATTGTGTTTAAGTAATTACAACTTCTGATAGTCCAAAAGATCACACATTAATTAATCCATAGTGGTTTAATTTTTAAAAATTGTAAAGGAGAAAAGGGTTTTTTTTTTTTGTTTTCTTTCTGAATTTTTGTTAATATTACCTTTCTTTATTGGAACAAAATAGTTCAAGCTAAATTTTTTTAGGGGATATGTGCATTAAAATTCAAACGATTTATTAATACGAAGAGATATAGTACAACTGAATGGTAAATATCAAAAAAGTTATGCAAATATAATTTTTAGAACTTACTAAACATTACCTATTGTTAACGTCTACAAAAGATTTAGATTGCCACTGATCGGGTGATTATTTCTATAAGATTTGCAATTTGTTCAAATAAAAAATTTAAATGGTAGTCTAAACTCTAAAAGGTTCATAAAGTACAAGAAAGCAAAAAAAAAAATCATTTAAGAAATAATTATCAAAGAAGATTAAAAAAAAAATATCATCAGCAAAAATTTGCCAAGAATTCCATTCAAAATTTTATGATACTCTTTTGACTATTACATTGGTTACTTAATTTTTATAGTATTAAAACTCATTGTTTTTTGTATTAATATAATCATCTATAATCGAGAATGATCAATGCTTAAGATTATAGTCTGCTCAAAGAATTTGATATCTTTTATTCTTTTGAAAAATAGAATAAGTATTGTCAATGTGAAAATATGATTTGAATTTATTGAGTGATTTTGTAACCGAAAAAGCAATAATTAATCATTAATTCGAAGGGAAAGAAAATATCCTTTTAAATTATCTTATTTCTCATAAATAAACGGTACATAATGGGAAAACGCATAAGACTGAATCTGCGCGTAATGGATTTTCACATTGCTACCTCTTCCAGCCCTACCTCACACATGTGACTTCTGTATATACATTCAAATTAAATCTCTTTTATTATAAAATAAATTTTAGTGTCTTTTTAAATAAAGTTATGTCGAGGGATTTTTTGAAATAATTGTCCACTTATTTGAAAATTAATGTTTGATCACGAAAATTTCAAATCAAACTTGCAATTATATTTCAAATTTGATAAATCGTATAGAGTATGCTTTGAGTCTATTTTTTTTTTTCACTTTTGAAGTTATATTAAAATACATTCAAGCATGAACTTTATTTCAAATATCCTTCGTAAAATATATCTTTCATGAAAAGTATAATTAAACACAACTCCAATTCAATTTTAACATCATAAATATCAAATTAAATAAAAAATATTAGAAATATATTACCCAACGAGCTACCTCATAAGAAAAA